CCGTGTGTGTGTGTGTGTATACATATATATACAGTCAGTCATATATATACAGTTGTTCATTTTCTTCCGTGCATGCCTTATCTCCGTTCCCTTTACGAATTTGGAGCTTTGAATTCTCCCCTTTTCCATCATTATTGTCTCAATTTGTCACTATGTATGCTAAACTTTCAGTACTATCTTGTTATAACAAGTCTCTTATTGTTTAAGCTTATAATGTCCTGTTCTTAGTATGGGTTGCACTCTTTTGCTTCTATATCTCTGTTCATTGTCTTACTCTTTGTTCTTTTTTTTGTTGTTCATTTTATTTTAGGTGAGCTGACACCTTTCAGTATTTCCTGTAATGCAGGTCTCGTAGTGGAGAATTCCATCATTTTTTTGTATGTCTGGAAAGGTCATAAAATTTCCCCTTTATATCTAAAGGAGAGCTTTGCTCTATACATATATTATTTTTGGTTGGTAGTTCCTTTCATTTAATATTTTGAATATTTGATTCCACTCCTTTATGCCTTGTAAGGTTTGTGCTAAGAAGTCCGAGGATAATCTAATGTTTTTTTCTTTACAGGTTACCATCTTCTTTTTCCTGGCTGCCCTGAGAATTTTGTCTTTGTCGCTGATTTTTGACCATTTTAATACAATATGTCTTAGAGAAGTCCTTTTTGAGTGAGATAATTGGGTGTTCTGTTGACTTCTTGAATTCCAAGCTCCAGTTCATTCTTTAGATTTGGGAAATTCTCGTCAACTATTTGTCTGAAAATGCTTTCTAGTCCCTGCTCCTTTTCTTCACCTTCAAGAATGCTCTTTTTTCTTATGTTTCCTCTCCTGCTGTTATCAGCCTGTTCTTGTGTATCTATTTCATTATTTTTCATTCTTCAGTTTCTTTCTGCTTCATTCTGATTTATTTCTAGATTTCTGTCTTCAATATTGCTGATCCTTTCCTCCATTTGGTCAACTCTATTTCTCAAGCTTGCTATTTCGTTTTTCACCTTTTTCAGTGTGATCTTCATCTCAGAAATTCTAGTTGGTTCTTTATGAGAGTTTCAATCTCCTTGCTAAAAAACTCATTCTGCTCATCTCGTTTTTTTCAATTCCCGAAATTGATGTTATGAATGGTTTTGGATCTCACTGAGTTTTTTTCAGAAATACCATCCTGAATTCTCTATTATTATATTGCATAGTTCTGTGTCTTTAAGGTTATTTTCTGGAGAATTTTCTCTTTCTTTCTGGCCTGCATTGTCACCTTGGTTGTTCATGGTGTTTAGTGGACTATTTCTCTGCTTGGGCATTAATGGAAATGTATCCTGCTTCTTTTATATAAAGAAGATTTAGTATATAATTGTCTCTCTTTAGCTTGTGTTAGTTCTTATGCACAGATCCCATGCTCAGACATGGTGGTGTGCAGTTTGGGTGTTTTTTTGTTGAGTTTTAGATGTTCAGCTTATTGTTGTTTCAAGTGGAGAGATCTGGAGACATCTCTCACTCTGCCATCTTTGTATAACCCTTGTATTTGAGATTAAATTCTTGTCTGCTGCATGAGAGAAGAGTGGATGTAAGGTCTATGTTTTGCAGATGCTCATAACATCTCTGGGCCAAAGGTTGGAAAGAATAGACCAAAGCTATAGGACCATCATGTCCTGTGCCATTTCTATATGTTCCACAATAGGGCTAATCCAACCTCAGGTGCTGTTTTCCAAAACCAGAAAATGACATTAGAAAAAAAGAAAATATAGCCCGATATCCCTAATGAACATAGATGCAAAATCCTCAACAAAATATGAGGAAACTGAATTCAGCAATACATTAAAAAGATCATACACTATGATCAAGTGGGATTTATTCCTGGGATACAAGATCAGTTCAATATCTACAAATTAATTAACATGATACACCACATAAAAAATGAAAGATAAAAATTGAATGATCATATCCTTAGATGTTGAAAATCTGTTTGACAAAATCCAGCATTCTTTTTTGACAAAAACTCTCAGCAAAGTGGGAATAGAGGGAACATACCTCAGCGTAACAAAGGCCATATCTGACAAACCCAAGGCTAACATCATACTCAACAGGAAAATGTTAAATATATTTTCCTGAAGATCAGGAACAAAACAAGAATGTCCATTTTCACTGCTTTTACTCAGCATGGTATTGGAAGTCCTAGCCACAGCAATCAGATAAAAAATAAATAAATAAATAAAATAAAGTGGAAAGAAAGATGTAAAACTGTCATTATTTGCGGATGACATAATACTATAAAATAAAAGGTACCCAAATTGAAAATGTATCAAAATGAAAGTATAATTGGAAGTAAAACTGTCATTATTTGCAGATGACATGATACAATATATAGAGAGAACCCTAAAAAATCCTCTAAAAATGTGACAGAACCCTTGTGAATATTTTTGGATTGTCATGGGTGCTATTCTGACCCATGCACCAAATGTCTTGTAACAGGTCCAGGTTGCCATGAAAAATGCTCTACCACTTGTGTCATTTGATCCAACAGATATGATAGTGCTTGGATAGTCAATGGCATATAGAGATGCTCTTTGGAGCTTTGGAGACCCTTACAGGTGATTCACAGATTAAGGATTTGGGGGAAAATTCATGCCATCTGTGGAGAATTACTCTACTTTTGAGAAAAAAAATTGGGTTTGCTACTGGGCCTTAGCAGAGAATTAACACTCAACCATGAACCCAAAATTTACCATGTGATATAAGCTGCCTATCATGCACTGTGTTGTGTGACTCAAACCATAAACATGTAAAGTTGACTGTGGACAACAACACTCCATTATTAAGTAGAAGTAGCATATCTGAGATGAAGCATAAGCAGGTTTTAAAGGCACAAGTAAATTGCATAAAGAAGCAGCCCAAATGTTCATAACTTTTACTTCTTCCACTTTACCTTCACTCTCTCAATCTGCACCTGTGATCTCATGAGGAGTTTCTTATGACTAGCTGACTGAGGAAGCACAATTATGCCATACTCTCCACATTATGCATGCATGTAACAAAAGTGGACGGCTGTAGCATGACCTGTATTTTTGGGTAAAGCAGTGAAAGAAAATTACTCCAATGCACAGAACTTTGAGCAGTGCACCTGCTTCTTCATTTTACCTAGAAGAAGGGATAGCCATAGGTCAAAGTCTATAGTAATTTGTGAGCTGTGACCAATGGTGTGACTGGATGATCTGGAACTTGGCAGGGACACAATTGGAAAATCAGATGAGGAGGTCTGGGAAAGAGATATGTGGGTAGAAAACTCCAAATCAGTACATAATTTGAAGATATTAGCATTCTGTGTGAATGCTTACCAAAGGGAGACTTTGGCAGAGGAAGATTTCACTACTCAGGGGGATATAATGGTCCACTCTGTGGATATCAATCAGCCATGCCTCTCATTTCCCAATGGACTCATAAACAAAGTGGCCATAATGGCAGGTATGGAGGTTATTGATAGATTTTACAATGTATCAACTTTGCTAGGTTGAACTATATTTCCCAGAATTCCATGTTTTGCATATTTAGTTAGGATGGGCCATATGAAAAATTCTCCCAAGAGTTTGGAAGGTAGAAATGAGGCACCAGACATGTTTTAACATAAACATATTATTGCTTATTTGCTGACTCAACTCAGGATGAAGCCACAGCTGAGCCAACTATGTGTGTATAGCTACAGGACAAAAGACCCTGC